TGTTCCTTGTATAGTATGAGTAATTACCGAAATTTCTTTCCATATGTGCAGGTAATTTCCGAAGTTTGTTGAAAAATTCTTTGTTGTGCTTATATTGTTTTCTTAACTGTATGACGGTAGTTACGGTATTTTCTGAAACTAGCATTTTGTATTGCTGTAATTTCCGAAATATGCATTTTTAAGAGGGAAATTTCCTTTTTCGGAAATCTGCCCACTGCTGTTTCGATATTCAAGATATGATTCCAGTTGACGTCATTGAAGATGGGAATTGTCTCTATAATTCCATTGTATGTTTGATCGGCAGTACAGTGTTAACACCTAGTGAGCTGAGAGGTAAGTTCCGATGACGTTAGTATAAAATTATTTAATTGTCATTCGTCTAGTGCGAACTTTAATGGAACTGGTAAAGAATGACATTTTCTACAGCCATCGTTTTTCACGTATTGTTGGATCACTCAATGAAGCGATAAAAAGCATTGCTCTCAATTTTTCATTCTCAGAACTATATAAAATTGCAGCCTTGAGCAATGTTCTCAAATGCAACATACGAAGTATTTATCCCAGAATTGATTATCGACCCGATCTAGACATCATGAATAGTACTTTTGAGCATGCTCAATCTAGTATTTCATCTAAAACAATTTATATATTCTGGTCACATACTCAAAGTGAAATATATGCCCGTAGAAATAATGCTGGTAATTGGTCACCTAATCATTTCGTGCCACTTTTACTTCCGTCGAACGAATCTCAGTATCAAAATAGCATGACTGAACCGAAAGCCACTGGTTCAGGCTTGGTGAGTTCAATCTTTTAGTACAGAGCTTTTTACAAAAAAAACATACTTTCGCTTACAGACGCCAACTAAATCGACAACGAAGAATAACATACTAACTCAAGTTCGCATTCCTGAATTTAATGCGAGGAATGACGAAACTCAACAATTTCAAATGTCATCGACACTTTCCACGGTAAACCAGGAAATCGCAACAACTCCTCGAATTAAACGAAGACTGCAAGTAACTGAAAACTATACGAATGTTGAAAATACAAATATGGATCGGAGACGTCAAAAAGCTCGTGAAAGTATGGCCGCTAAACGAGCTGAAGCTACACCAGAAGAAGCTGAAAGACAGCGGGCGCTTGCAAGGGAAAGAAGTGCTACCAGAAGAGCTACCATTACACCAGAACAAGCTGAACGAGAGCGCACCCTTGTACGAGAAAGAAGTGCAGCTAGAAGAGCTGCCTTAACACCAGAACAAACTGAGAGAGAGCGTAGTCTTGATCGTCAAAGAAAAGCAGCTAGAAGAGCTGCCATAACACCAGAATAAACTGAGAGAGAGCGTAGCCTTGATCGTCAAAGAAAAGCAGCTAGAAGAGCTGCATTAACACCCGATGAAATCGTACAACAGCGAGCAATTACTCGTGAGAAAACAGAAGCTTGGCGTGCTACTTTTTCATCGAAAGAAATCGAATATCAGTGAGTGCTTGCTGCCGAAAAGAGCATGAGTAAACGAGCTACTGCATCACCCAAAGAAGCTGAAGAACAACGTGTAGTAGCTCGCAAAAGAAGTGCCGCAAGACGAGCTGCTTACGCATTTGAGGAACTAGAACGTCAGCGCGCATCTGCTCGTCAGAGAAAGCAGCTTCGAAAAAGTGGCAAACACCAACACGAAACGATGAAAACAAAAGTACAAGAAAGTAACGACTTTGAATGGCCAAAACCTATTGATATTGAACATAAGAAAAACTGTCTAAAGAACTTTATTCAACATATGTCGATGAGTTTTCTGGAAGAAGGTGTTTGCGGTATTTGTAACATTCGTTGCTATAAACGTGATCTCCGCCACATACCGTTCAGTAAAATACCGTCTATTGAACTACTGAAAGTGTCCGATGATTTTTATGGCTTAATTTCGGGAATGCAGGAAACGCATTCATTCCAGTCACACGATAAGCTTAACATGAGTGGCAATCTTGCCATGGCTTTGATTCAGACAGAAAAAGCAGGAGGTTGGTCTTGCTCATACGTAAGCTAACACAGTAAATAATCTTCTTTTTAATTTCAGATACAAATGCTCAATCAACAATGACTAAAAAGTCATTTACTTGTGTAAATGGTATCGTTTTTTATACAGCAGGATTGCATAAAACTGTTTAGAGAAAAAGACGATATTCGATACACTGTGATATTTGTTCAGAGTGTTGGTCATCTTTAATAAACGAGAAAATACCGAAATTTTCGCCGGCCAACAAAATATGGGTTGGAGATGTTCCAGAAGAACTACAAGGACTAACAATTCCTGAGCAAAAACTAATTGCTCTTTATAGGCATAATAGCTGCATTGTCAAGTTACATTCGTCTTTTCATTCGACAAGTACAGCTCAATCAGCTTTAAAGGGAAATTGCATAAGTTTTCCCCAAGATGTTATCAATATAGCTACTACCTTACCACTAGATTTAGATGATCTATGAGATTCTCTAAAGATAATCTTTGTTGGATGCCGTCCTCCGCAACGAAACCAATTAAAAAATGTTTTGACCGTTCGAAAAAAGAAAGTTTTTGAAGCACTTCAATGGCTTAGACAGAATAATCATCTATATCGTAATGTGACAATTAATCAATCAATAATCAACAAATTACCTGAAGATGATGTACCAGAGTGCCTGTGGGCAACCATGGAAATTTCTACTAATGTAGAAGCAGCTGAAAATGAAAGAGCAAGTTACGTTCCTGATCCGTTGATCAATGCATCTGAATTTAACAATACAACAGCTATACCCATAGTCTCAAGGTAAGACAAAGAGACATGTAGATATTCTTGCACTAATATTGTTTATGTTATAGTGCTGTGTTAGATGTCAATGGTACCAAAGTGTCGTCTGATGAAGTTGCTGAACATCTTTTAGAACGAATCAAAGCACAAGTGCCAGAAAAAACACACGGAAAAGACACCGAGCAAAACTCTAAACAAGACACTGTATACATAATTCCTCGTGGCAACAAACCGACCAATGAATATTCTAATCCAAATCTTTTATTAGGAATCTGTCCCACCTTATTCCCATATGGATGTGGTGGGCTTGAGGATGGTTCTCGACCGATTCAAATCAATTTTCGTGAGCATCTCAGATATCTTCTTTCGTATGCAGATCGTCGCTTTGAAGAACACTACTCATTTATATTCGTTGTCTTCAATATTTTACAACGCCGAACAGCATGTTTCCACGCCCAATTAATGACAACAAGATCGTGGTTTCAACAATCTGCACAAGTTCTTAACTCATTAAGTTCTGAAGATGTAGCAGCAGCCCTTATTAATATCTCAAAAGCGCCTTATTCAAAAGTTACTGACGAGAGAATAAATAAACCCCCCCCCCAGAATAAAAGGCCATGGCCTTCTATTATGGAAATTCACCTCGCTCTTTTCAGGGTGGCCTTCTATTAGGGGTGGCCTTCTAATAGGACTTTTATGGTAAAAAATTACAATTTTTTTTTGTTAGTTGCTGATTCTGTTTTTCTAGCTCGACAACTGAAAATTGAAATTTGTTTAGACTTTTGAGCTAATGCTACCCATGTAGCCGATTTTATGAAATAATGGGCATTGCAATGCATTATTTTACAATAGAAATGCAATGGATGCAATTACATGATAATGCAACCTATTTCATGCATTATAATGCATTATTTTTAATTAATCCATTGCAATACATTGATTTATCAACGCATCATAATGCATTTTTTTTTATAATAATGCATTACAATGCATTGAAAATTTAGGCATTATCCTTCATTTTCAGCATTATTAGAAATAATGCATTGAAATGCATTGAAAAGTCAAAAAATAATTAATTATAATGCATTAATTCATGTTTTTCTTCAAATAATGGAAAATAATGGATCATTTTCCATTATTCATCCATTATCGGCTACATGGGTATTATATTTAATCAACAAATATTAGTATACCTATCCGATGTCTGGCACCACAAATACTTCAAAGAACAAAAAAGTTTTTATATGTATTCAAAAGATATGTAATCGTACCAAAGCAAAAGAATTGAAGCGATCAAATAGGCATATTAAACTTTGTTTTGTTTTGACAGCTTTTGGAAATTGAACATACCTCTTTAAATTTATAGCAAAACCAAACAGGAGTGCGGTGGAGATCATACATGATCTCTCAAAATGCTAAGATATTTATAAAACTAGCACAGAATATTTATGTAATATCCAAACAATTCATTAGAAAGCCATGGCCTTCTAATGTGACTTTTGCAAATATGACTCAGGGGTGGCCTTCTAATGGGGGTGGCCTTCTATTCTGGGGGGGAGTTTACGTTGATGAAGTACATCAAAATTATTGGTGGTCACGTCATGGGTTCAGCTCATTCCCGATCAGCTCTTCGTACGAAAATTCATTCTTTATGTTTTTATCTTGGTCTTCCTAGCCTTTTCGTCACAATCAATCCGGCTGACATCCATAGTCCAGTGGCACTTTACTTTGGAGGTGTCGATCTCGATCTTGATAACGTTCTGCCAGAAGTCCTGCGTACAAGTTATGAGCGTGCTCAAATTGTCGCGACACACCCTGTTGCAACTGCAAAGTTCTTCAACTGTTTAATAAAAAGCATTTTGAAAAGCCTAGTGTTGGGCGGTGTACTTGGTCCTGCAAAAGCGTATTTTGGCACTGTAGAGAGTCAAGGAAGAGGATCGCTCCATTTACATCTCTTGATTTGGCTCAATCATGAATATACTCCAGCACAATTGAAAGAAAAAATTCAAAATCAAGATTTTCGTGAAAATTTACTAAAATATTTAGAAGATATTATAAAAGAAGATTTAGATTCGTTTCGAGGTAATATATTTAACATTGTTCGAATCTGTCATTTGAAGTTGTTACATTTGCCTACTTGATGCTGTTTTACACCCTAATAGTGTATCACTGCCTTACCTCGAACTTGAGCTTTCAGAACATTGTTAACATTTTTATTAATGCAAAACATATTTCATTCTGATCACTTATTCTTACTATATATTTATGAGACTTCTATTTTTTGTACTTTTGAATATCAATATTCTTTTTTAAGATGAAACCAACGACGGAACAAGTACGACAAGCGATGATAGAACATTAATTGGTGAGCTTTGAAGCTTTTAGTAGATCTTTAATTATAATTCTCACTTCATCTTAGGAGAAATTGGATCAACAGCAAGTGAAGTTATACCACCATGTCTCCCGACACCAAATCCTGCATTGGAAGACTTCGATCAAACGTTTCGCAAAGATGCAGTTCAATTGGTCGAAACCTGCAATATTCACAAGCATTCTGCAGCTTGCTATAAATATTCTAAAGGCAAAAATGAGAGTTCAAAAATTTGTCGAAGGCGCATGCCACGTGCACTAGTGAAGGTTTCTAATATTGATCCTACGACGGAACAAATAACTATGCGTCGATCGCACCCGTGGATCAATAACTTCAACGAATGGCTCTTAACTGCATGTCGATCAAACATGGACATTAAGTTCATCTGGAGTGGAAATGATGCTAAAGCATTAGTTTACTATATAACTGATTATGTAACAAAGTCTACTCTGGCCTTCTATGATATGTTTGCGCTGGCACAACAAGGCATCAAATCTATCGGGCATGAACGAATTTCTAATAGCACAGATAATATTGTTGGCAAATCGCGTAAACTAGTGTTACGCTGCTTTAATATGATTGCTTCACAACAAGAAGTTTCAGGTGTTCAAGTAGCGTCATATCTAATGAACTATGGTGACCACTACACTACACATACGTTCAAAAATCTTTTTCTCATTGCAATCGAAAACTATCTACAAACAGAACTAAATAAAGCACGAATTAACGAAAAAGAAATTGTTGAAGAGAGGATAGATAGTAGAACTTTTTAAAGTAATTGTATAGATTTTTAATATGTAGTTTTCTAGAGACTTCAACGCCTTTCTACGATCAACAAGGAGAAAATAAAAACGAAATTGAAGAACAATTTTTATTAGAACTTACAAAAACCAACAGCGGCGATCAGTATGTCTTGGTCAATACTCGTCTTGACTATCAGCATCGATCAAAGGATCTAAGTGCATTGTGTTTATATGACTTTGTGAGCCATTTTCACAAGAAGGTTATTGATAAATCGGATCGTCATTTACTAAAGAATGTAACCGATCCTCAGGGCCAACAATTACCTACAGAAGGAACGAAAATGAATGAACGTCATACATTTGACAGTGTACATCCACAATCAACATCTCATTTCATAATTAAACGTTCCATTCCAGTAGTACCAGTTCTGATAGGTCCTCAAATACCTCGCCGCGAACGAGAAGAAACACATGAACGTTATTGTCGCGCGTTGTTAGCATTATTCATGCCATGGCGATCAGTCCAGAACCTTTGTGCAACGAATGAGACATGGTCTGAAGCATTGGAAGCTCGAAGGCTGTTGATCTCTCCCAACTCGCTTAAGATTATAGAAAATATAGAACTTTTGCACGAATGCAAACACGATCGGGATGAACATCTTCATCAAGTTCTTTTAGAAGCCCAAAACGACAACAGCATTGACCCTATTTTGATGCCTAATTGTTATGAAGGCGACGAAAATGCAGACGAAGATGATCCTGAACAACTTTTACAAATGCTTTCCATCGTAAATGAGACCACCACAAACGCTTACTCTGCATTGGCAGGTACTCATGAACAACGCTATGTTCGTGATGCATTACAAGCAATTGATAATACAGATAGATTTGCATTACTCAATGGTGAGTTAATTACTGCCATATTTCGAAAATATTTAGTTTGTTTTAGGCTGTACACGTGGTAAGGGCGAAACTAAGTATGATATCATACACGACGTCCATACATTTGTCGTAGCTCGCGAGCATCATACGACCATGATTAAAGAGTGGAAACGTGATATTGAAGCTCGACGAGATGAAACAAGAAACTATTTAATTTCAGGCGAAGGTACTCTGGAAGTACGAGATGATGAAACACAGATTGAACTCGTAGATACTGAAATTCCGACAAGCCCAATTAAAACAAGACTTACAAGGATTCCACCTGTGACTACAACCAATGCAATCTTATTTCCAACAAAAGAAGATATTATCAGACAATTTACACTAAACACTCAACAAAAATATGCTTTCATGATAATAACTAGTCACTTAGATGGCGAAAATCATGCTTATACCGGTATATTTCCTTCATATTGCTATTGAAAATTTTGAATAGACTTGATATTTAGGTACTATTGATAATCAATTATTAATGTGCATACCTGGCTGCGGTGGTACTGGAAAATCTCAGTTGATTCGTGCAATTACGAAGTATTTCTAACTAACAAAATGGGGCAAGATGTTGCGCAAACTCGCCCCAACCTCTATAGCAGCAGCTGAGATTGACGGATTAACTATTCATTCATTTTTAGGTGAAAGTCGCAAAAACATTAAAAAGCAACAAACCCGTACAGTTAGACCTGGTGATATGAAATTAGAAAATGAATGGCGTCATGTGAAGTACTTGATAATCGATGAGATGAGCATGGTAGGACTTAGTCTCTTAGCTCGTCTGAATCGTATAGTAAAAACGGCCAAGCACGTAAATTCTGAGATACCTTTTGGTGGTATCAATGTCATTTTCTTCGGTGACTACCTTCAATATTCTCCAGTTCTGGACAAGCCTCTGTACTATAGCTGCGCATCGACACAGCAAATTACCGAACGTCAGATAGATATAATGTGTGCACAGAAACTCATGTCTGAAATAAACTGCGTTGTTGAATTAACTCTGCAAATGCGGACTGAAGACGTAAGATATTTGGAGCTTTTAAATAGATTAAGAAGTGGACAGTCAACAATAGAAGATTATCAATTGCTATGCACGAGAGTCGTAGGAAATCCAAAACTTCAAGTATCTCTATAACAAAAGCCATGGAACGAAGTATGCACATTCATTTTCTCTCTGTGTCGCATTAATTTTCTTTTAATAGGCTCCAATATTGGTTTTTCGGAATACGCTGCGCACTCAAATTAACAACAGGGCTGTCTTAAATAAAACAATGGAAATGGGACTCACCCCAATTGTTTGTATTGCTCAAGATTATATTCAAGGAAAACCAGTGGATGATCCACGATTACGTAAAGCCATACTTGAACTACCTGACAATAAAACCGAACATCTTCCAGGGTATCTGCCTCTTGTACCAGGAATGCCAGTTTTACTCACAGAAAACATCGCTACCGAGCTGGGACTCTCTAACGGTACGCGAGGAACCTTTCGTCAACTTGTATACGATGAACCACCAGAAGATGATCGATACCACGATCAGAATTTTCCACCAAATACCCAGTTTATAACGCAACTAAAGTATGCTTTAGTAGAATTTCCTGGTTGCAAACTTGATGAAAAACTTGCTGAACTGTCTTCCAAAATAGTTCCTATAGCTATAAGCGAACAGACATTCTTGTTCGATGCTAAAGAACTTCTTCCAGAAAATGTCGCAAAAGCAGCCAAAATAAACAAGAAAACAACAAAACTTACCGTCAAACGTAAAGCACTTCCACTTATACCTGCATACAGCATAACAACATATAAAAGCCAAGGCCAAACACTAAGTAAAATTATCGTAGATCTGGTGATGCCGCCTGGCCCAGTTGAACTCGCATCGGTTTATGTTCCGTTATCTCGTGTAAAGAGACTTGACGACTTACTAATCATACGTCCATTTGACTCCGCAACACTTGAAGTTAAACCATCAACGGCCCAAATAGCAGAACTTAAAAGATTAGATAAAATAGCACAAAGTACTCGGAAACGTTTTCAATTCGTTGTTTAAAACAATAGAATCACAAGAGTGCCGTGACCTTCAGGCAAACCGTTTAACTCATAAAGAAACTATATTGCATGCTTGAAATATATTTGTTATACAATTATAGCTATTAGATCATTTGTGAAACTTCTATGAAATTCTTTTTGAAATAAAAGCCATAAAAGGTTAAAAAGAATGAAAAGAATTTCAATTATGTAAACCCAATATATCCATAGAAAGTCACAATTGTTTGCGGATGCAATCCGATTTCCAAGCAGTAATTGACACCTATGCACGACAAGAGAAACTACATATGACGCACGTTGTCAGGATCGCCATCTATAATATATAGATGGATGATCCTTCACCTTGTTATCGTTCCTCCTCCTCTAACATGTTGTTTGTTTTTTGATATTAGTAGTAGTTGTTGTGTAATAAAGAAAGAAGGTGGGCAAGGACCCTAACACACGTCATAGAAGAAAATTTTCTTAAGTGAAGATTTCAGAGAAGACCAGTAATGTAAGCCAAATTTTATTACCAACATCTAATCTGACAACACTTGCAAATACACCTTCATGTGATCTCCTAGTAGCAAATCAACAAACTACATCTAGAATCTGAGGCAACCGAACCACATTCGTTTCATTGAAACAACTTCCATAAACAACCAGTGCACAAACATTAGCTGCCGCATACCACTAAGACTTACAGAAAATCTCAAGAGTACTGTTCCAAGTGGTTTTCCAATCATACTCACCTCTCAACTTTTGTTTCGAAACATATACAGGGTTTGTATATGTGTCAGGCAAATTTGGTATTTAGGCAAAATTGAACTCATGATAAAGTTTGTTGTCTTGAAAATATTGAATGTAACTTTGCCTAGCCAAAATTAGGTCACTGCATAATTGAAATTAAATAAAAAATTCTTGCACAGGCTTGAATATTCATCTTAAGTCTTTTTTCATCAAATTTTCTTTTTCTTTTTTGCAAGTACTATTTATTTTTTATAAAAGTGGGGACATGGGGACATTGATGATTAGCTAGATTTATTTTTTATCGAACTTTCTTTTTCTTTTTTGTGAAAAACTATCTATCCCGTTTTAAATGATGGGGACATGGGGATATTGAT